GAAGAGCACTAAGGATTAAGAACAAATTTGGCTTCATAGATGGTACTCTATGTGAGCCAGAGGATCCAAATGATCCACTAATGGAACAATGGCTGAGATGTAATGACATTGTTATTACTTGGATGCAAAATGCTATGGCAGTGGATATCAAGAGTAGCACCATCTATGCTAAAACAGTTCACCTTCTCTAGCTTGACTTAGGTAGCATTTTTCCTAGCAAAATGCTCCACGAATTTTTGAGGAAATAAGGATATCACAACACTGATGCAGAACCAGGACGTTGCAAATGTTTACTTCTCTAAGCTCAAAATCCTTTTGGATGAACTATTGAATTACGAGAGCATTCCCAACAACATTTGTGGATGCATGAATGTCCTTCCATCTGTCGGCTGTTGATTTGGATTTGCAATTGTATGAGGATTCATATTAGTTTCACCCAATTATCTCTGATACCATATTAGATTTTGAATAATAAAAATTCAGATGAAGAATTTGTGAGAAAGGCTAAATTTGCATTTTCACATACGTTAATTGAATGAATTTACAAAGCATTTGATCATCTATATATACAGCAAAATGAATGAAAAATATTCTAACTAACCTACTGCTATAAAACAGAAAAGAATAAAAGCTAACAGCCTAACTATTCTCCTTCTAGATAATTCTTCTATTGGCGCCTCACTAGTGGTCCATGCTGGCTTTCTTCTTGCTGATTGTGTAGGGGCTGGAGCTGCCTCACTTGCTCCAGTTGATTCAATCCTTCTAGCTTCAATACACTCTGTTACAAAAGAGAAAACACGTGGCTCACTCTCTTGCATGGGAAACCTTTGGCCTCGCTAAGCCCGGTCAAATAGACACCCCACAAGTTCTCTTTTTTCTTTTTCGTTACAAACACATACAGCCCGAGACACTATTGTAGATGCACTTTTCCTAGAATATAGCAAAATTTTTATGGGTTTTTTATGTTACTTGGTATGAAGGATGTTACACAGGATTGTATAGATAGTCTAAGATTTATTATGTTGATATTTAATCTATAATATATTAAATATCACATCAAGTAAGAATAATTTTTTAAACGATTATAGTCCAATTGCAATTCATTTTTTAATGTATATTTAATTTATAAACTGTAATAGATACTATAATTTACACTAATATTCATTTAATTTAATATTAATTAGAATTTAACATTATGTCCTTGTTATTAACAATTAATTAACATATACATTTATTAAATTAATATTAATTAAAATTTCATATTCAAGAATGCAATTTATTATTTACGTCCATATATGCTAATTAGCATACAATTTCACTTAATTAAAAATTAAATTAAATTAATTTAATATAAATGATTTAAAATTCAATGTCACATATATATTCCTTGGTGTTAGTCTAAATTAATTAATATTCACTTCAATTCATGTATCATATATGCCATCCAATTTCATTCATTTAATTGTAATTCTAATACTCACACTCAAGTTTGCATTTTACTACTCACGTGCATGTATAATAATTAACATTTATTTTCAGAGGCTTGAATTTCTCTCATATTTAGATTAAAATTGTAAATGGAAGGTCAAATATGACTTTCACAGCACTTATAAAATATTTTAGAATAATGTACAATGAACGTTCAACTCTGACTAATTAACGTAAAAGTAGAGTTACTGGATGCATGTATTCTTTTCTTGTTGCCAACTATACTTGCTTCGTGAGTTTTGATTTTCTGAATCTTGATTCATTTTTTAAATTAAAACTTGTAAGTTTTATACCCTTCAAGATTATTTTATTTGCTACTACGAAATAAAAATTTCGCACTTAAGCAATTTATTTAGATGCACTCTATCAGAACATGTATTTTTCATCGTTTTTAATGATTTTTCTTTGCTATAGTTCTATTCGAGTTCATGGTTTTGGTCTTTTTGGTTCATGCTGTTGTATATTAGAATGAATTGATACCAATTTGTTGAAAACGATATGAAATTATAGGCACAATATGAAGTAAAGATCACAAACTTACAAGAATAATATAATTTGCACAGTAAATGCAATTTCACTAAAATATGGATATATGATACAAATATTTGTGTTTACAATTTGTCAAACTAATAATGGAAATAAACAAACCTCCAATAAGGTTAAACCAACCTATAATGAGATTAATAACCCATAATGGGGTAAAACTAATCTAACTAAATTGTAGAGAAGAGTTATATATGTTGTAAAAGGAAAATAAATTAGGATTTAGTGTGAACACTTGTACCCCTGCAGTCCTAGATGTAATTACCATATGTATTCCTATTCCTTCCCTATAAATATAGGGCTTTGATTCTCATTATAATACACACAAGTTTATTGATTTATCTTATTCTCTCGTTTTATAACACATTATCAGCACGAAAGTTTAATTCTTCAAAATTCAGAGAAGGTAGTATTTTTTTTATAATCATCTATTACGTGTACCAAAATCATTTGGTGACATGTAATTTTTTTTATACATACATAACACGTTATCTATCGATTTTTCTAAGCATAATCAATTCGGTGGGAATCAATTCCTACAAAATATTTGTTTATCTGTAATCTTTTGTGTGTATCATTATGTCAAATCCATATATTGCTTCCGCAACGTTTACGTGAACAAATTTGGTTTCTGCCAAATTGTTGTCTGCCACAATTAGCTTCTCTTAACCATCCCAACTTCCCGTGCTAATGTCAATTCAATTTTTGCGCGTTCATTGGTTTCTGCAAATTCAATTTTTTTAATTATATATGTGCACCCAAGGTAACTCCCATATTTTTTATGATTTAATTAACTTTTGCACGTTAATCAATTTCTGAAATTAGTTATCAGGTTGCTTCTCATTCTCCTTTAAAACACGTTATAATTGGTTTATGAAATTTAGGCCATAATATGTGAATAGGTTTCTGCATGTCATAATTATCAATTTTTTTTTCCACTCAACTAATTCAAGTCAATATTTAATGTATTTATAAATTAGTTAATATTTTCATTGTGATGTGTAATTGAATATTTTATTATCGTTTTTTTATGTTTAATAATAAATATCAATTATTGATTTCATTCTTAATTGTTGTTGCTCCCGAAAAAGTACAACTCTATAAATAATACATAGCTCCTGAAGAGCCAATATTCCTAAATATTAATTGGTGTTGCTTCTAAAATAGCACAACATTATAATTAATATTCTTGAAGAATATTACTTGCTCTTAAATAGCATAAATTATATTTTTCAATATTCCAGAAGAATATTGACATATTGCTCTTGAAGAAGCAATATTAAAATACAACATGCTCCCGAAGTAGCACATGTCTCGAAGAACGTACTATTTTAAATTAGTGTTTATCC